CCCCAAAACCCCAAAACCCCAAAACCCCTAGAACTATAAATATTCCATTAGAAGAGATAATGATATAATTTAAGGAAATCAAGTTCATCCATATAATTATTGCTATAATTTAGACATCATTCAGGCATAATCTAATCGTACTATTTCTATATTTCTTCAAGTTCGTCAGGTTATTAGTCCTCACCTTCTTCCTCTCCCTATAAAAATTCATCTAAATACATTGTTTCGTTGATATTCCTAGTCATCAGTTTCGCCATTTCCTCTTCCTGATAGAGTTTCATCAATCTCTGCTCTTCTTCAAGCAAAAGTCTGTCATCTTCATATTTTACATTTCCACTTATAGGTAATCTATCAATAATCTTCGTTGATATCATCTTAATAGCCTGAAAAAGATTCATTGTAACAAGAGCAGCATGTTTAGGAACGTCTTGCATTTCATCAAGAACATTTTGTGATATATCTGTACTAAGCGTAGGTCTTATATCAAACCCTCTGTAAAATCTTAGTTTATTCATAGAATCTGGTAAATGAGCTATTCCTATTAAGCACATAAAACCCATCTTATAGGTATTTTGCCCTAGGTTGTAGCCTACGAAAAAATTAGCTTTCAGTGTTGCTACTCTCTATTCTATTTAAATATCAAACCAGATCAAGTCATATTTGTTTAAAAGCTTAAGAGCTGGCAGTTATTTATTCAACTCTTAAGGAAACCCTTCTACTGATAGTTTAGTCAAATCCTAAATAGCACAAAATTAGATAATTTGAAAAAGACTAATATCATTCTGAACTACTTACAGTTTTTATGATGCCTAGAAAATTATTCAAGCATTTACCTTTGACTTTCATGACATATTTATGCTCAATCTTTTTATCTCCAGGCAAACTTTAGATATACTTATCGAGTTTTTATCTAACTGGTTCTAATGAAACTTTAGTCAACACTGGCAAAGGTTTGTATTATGGATGATTATTCAAATGAGACTACTGTTTCATGCTATTTCTCTGTGCGGATGAACCGAAACTAGGTTTATACGCTGTCTTTTTATATATTTCCTCTACCTTTTGGATTGATGAATCATTTAGGGCTAATTCCTCATTGATTTTTCTTGATGGTTGCATCTGTAACTATGCTTTCATTCTCTTAATAATAGTCATCAAGATTTATGATTTTTTCGAATTCTCTATCCTCTTTAAATCCAATTTCAAAACTCTTTACGTTAGTAATGGGAAGGTAGAAATGAATGCTGTCCTTATCATATATTTCCATTTGACAACCTTCTCCTTTTTCCTGATGCTTCTAATATTCCTAATACCATATTTTCATTTGTTAGAGGTCGCCCTTCATCACAGGCTAGAATTCAAGGTTTCTGAGCACATAGAAATAGTATTCTTCGTTAGGTAGTTTACCATGCAGTCCATCGCTCTCAGGGAGTTCACCCAATTTAAATCCATGTCTATTGACAAAAAAGCCAATTAAAGCCTCCTCTTTCTCCCTAGAAATGCCATCAGGGATAATGACTCCATAAATTGCTTTTGATTAGGACTCATCTGCTAGCTTGTCAGGGTTATCATAGTAAACTCCAAATAGCTACTATATTATATCACCTAAAATCATAGGAGTTCCTTAAACCTTTTTCGTCTTTTCAATTAATTCTAGAAGATTATCAAAGGTGTCTTTTATATCAGTGTAGCTACCCTTGAATTCCTTATATAGCACCCTTCTTTTCTATATTTTCTCTTGAGTAATGTCAACCTTATACATCTACCAAGGCTGCATGTAGTACCAGAATAGATAGGTTGCTGCGATTAGTACTAAACCAATGATAAATACTACTCCAAAGCTCATTTATTTTTTAGTAATTTAAGTTATTATAAATCAGGTAAACTGAAATATTCTTGAATAGTATGTTTAAATTTTAAGCTAATTAATAATTTAAATTGTTAGGATTTCCTTTCGAAAACTTCATATATTAAATTAAGCTTGAGTCATTAAATGCACAAGTGTAAGCTCAAACTTAACTGTGAATAATAAGATAAGTTTGTAGTTTCATTATCAAACGATGATACTCAGAACCTCTTTGACTGCCTGGTGTTCGAAATAGATGCGGCATTGTTATTCATGGTGTTTCCATAATTATTGAAATTTGAGTTCTTTAAGGGAGATTAGTTTGTATAAGGCGACGATTAGTGTTTTGAGTTTTGATTATATTGATTTTAGTTGTTTATCCTTTTCATATCGTTTTTGTCAAACATCTTATTCTCTTAGGAATAAATGCTCGAGTTATGGTCAGCCAAGTGGACTAGATTGGAATGTTGATGAATAGAGTTTGTGTTCTCTCCAAATGCCACTCTAGGTGACTAGTTTAGTGGTTTGTATGGTTATATTATACTTGATTTTCCATTTTATGGAAGGATGTTTGGGTTATTTTCTGAATTACTAGAATGATTTTTGTGGAGCTTATTTACAGGAGTAGGCATTTTGAAGCTATTTTCATCATTATTGCTGTTTGATTAGCCTTGCCCTTGGTTAGGCTTTTCTCCAAATGACTTAATCATACTAGGAGGGTAAATAGTTTGACTCATTGACATATTATTTGATTTTTGGTACTGCATATGATTTTTCAGCATTTCTTGTTCCTTCATCATTTTAGCTGTGAGTTCATTCTTTGCTGTCAAATCCTATTCCAGCTTTTTTATGCTCTCAGAGTCTAAGCTCACTCCAACTTATGTAGCAGCTTTCTCAACAGATCCAGGTGGCAAGTTCAAGTCAAAATTTTCAGGCAAATTAATACCGTTTGCTTGAGCGAAGACAATGGACTTAGCAATTTTTTCCCTATCAGTCTTATTTCCTCCATTATGCTTTATCTTTATATGAAGATTTAAAGATCCTTCAGACCCATAGAACTTTTCGCACTTTGGATAGGGGCATTTATACTATCTCTCGATATCATTTGCACAACGTCTATTATGCTTCTTTCTACCAGAGCTATATCTCTCACTTTAGAATCTGTCCAAATTTTCATCATAGAAGTTTTATATTTTAAATGACTTGTGCAATAGATCATTTCTTTCTGTTGCTATTTTATCAATCTATGCTAATAAAGCCTGATTCTGTAGGTACACATTCCAATATTCATCCATATAGTTAAGAGTTTTCTCATAAGCAGGTATTTTTGGTAAGCCAGTAACCTGATCAACCTCAAATTAAAGAGAGAAGGCCGAATTTTTTACCAATGCTTGAGCAGTTAAATCATTTTGCGAGGATTAATAAGATGTCTCATTCAAAGCCTTGTGACTTTAGCTCATGTAAGAGGATATTGCTGTCAGATTACTCAATTGAGCAACAGCTTGAACCTTGCTATCCTCTTTTCTCTATCTAGCAGTCTATTAGCTTGATCTGGTATTTTTAGAGATTGTAGGCTTATTATCATTATTGTTTAAATTTTTAATTTGAGAAGTAAAAGTGAATGCATCGTTAATTCTATCAAAGAAATTTTCCTTGTTCAAAACTTCAAAATCACTCGCCGTTAAACTTTAAGTGTCATTAAAATCCTCATCTTTTCCGCCATTCATCATACTATCCCTCTGTAGTTCGTCAAGAAGTGTTGAGCCACTAAGAGAAGATATATTTTCACCTGTCACTGGTGCTCCCAACTTATGATTAATGGCTGAAGTAACAGTGGCAGTCTCCCTCAATTATTATTATGTGGTGGTATTTGACTGCTGAGACTATTACTGATCCTTCCTAATTCTTAATCGCTTATTCAAACCTGGTTTCTAGTTCTCTTTTTACTCATCCTAAGCCTATTATGGTGGTATGTTGTTAATGAGAATTTTAGAGCGTAGTCTTTTGCCTAAGAGCTTCGCCAACTACTAAAGAGGCTATTAATCGGGACACTTGACAGTCGAGGTAGAGGTATTCTTCATTTAAATATCGTTTATTTCTGAAATATAATTTATTTTTAAAGTTTAAATTTCATGAATCTTCGCTATTTATTAATATATTTAACTCCTAACTATCAATCAAATCTCTCATATAGGGGTTTTGGGGTTTTGGGGTTTTGGGG